ACTTACATCATATTTACATCAAATTTACAACCTTTTAAAGTGCGCGATTTTTAGTGGGTAAAATAGATACTGAGATATGTTTCACTTAGTGTATTTTTTCTTTAGATCAATGTATTGAAGGTACTACGTTACCTAATGCACATTGGTGAAGTTCGAAACCAACCCACTRATACCCAGAYCYCTGGWAATGAGCCCCAAGAAGCCTGGGCACCAAAAAGGTCAACAGCMCAGCCRAMTCCGACWGGWCAGCGTTCTCCTTYCGTAAACCCRGTAGTCAAATCGAAAAACAAATTACCATATCTAGGTCACCTGTGTGTGCGTCACGTGATTCAGTACTGTGGGCCTTATCTGTTGGACTTACTAAAGCCACCTATCAAGGGAGGGCTGGGGAGAATGTCGCTGATGGTTATTCAGGAATGCGTTTCAAATGGAGAGGTGATGCGTGTCATGTTGTTTGTACGGGCTCCCTGTGCTTAATGCATTGGTATTGTTCAATTAGACTTCTGAACCATWCACGCCACTACTTGATTTTGAATGCATTGTGGGATCAGTTTCAASAGAAACCAAAAGAAATCCGCCATGTTCTTYCCCAAAYAATACATTGCGTATACGGTGCGTGACGTATATGGTACATGACGTAAAAGCTTCAGAGGTCTATTGTTTATTATTATTTTGCCRTCAATAATCCACTGAAGTTCATCCATATTATTTCATATGTCAGTAAATTTTTACTTATTTCTCCAAAGGCTGACAGTCGATTCAAGCTAGCGAAACTTGGTTCTTTTGCGCAAATAATTGAATGCATTCGTGGGACCGAAGATGAAGCCGATACACAGAGCCTTTGCCTTGTAGTTCTAAGGAAACTGGTATCTAGTGACCAGTCCCTAAAGCAGCTGTTTTTTGCCCATGGAGGCATGAGCCTAGTCATGGCTTTACATGAATATCAATATGGAGTTGTAAAAGAGCAAGCGGCTTTGACTTTAACTGCTTTATCTAAAGGTAATATTTGTTCTTATTTCATCATTTTGAAACAGCCATATTGCGYAATTTTGAGACTATAACCCTCTTGTGTCATCACTGCCATTCTGTTCTGGTGTTTCCTTGTTTGGAAAAAACACAGCAAAGATGGCAACTATGGCAACTTTGTACTTCTTCATAGTAACAACGATTTTTTAGAACTTTTTGGTTTTGAAATGAAGTTGAGTTTTCACTTGAAATTACTTAAAAACAGCTTTTCATACTCATCAAATTACGCGAATAAAGTATTTTCTCAAAAGAGGAAAGCTTTTATTGTATTATTTACTGCATTTTACTCAGGCTCAACGTTTGCAAAGACCAAAGGTCTGTCAAAGAAACGTCATAAGAAGACGTCATCTGCTGACGACATCTGGGATCATGTGACCCACAAGTGGGAAGGCCAAGACAAAGTCTCGAAAGTGTTGAGGAAGTTTAACGTGAGATATTGACTCGTTGGCTTGAAAGTAAATTGAAATTTTAATGTTATGGAAATAATATATTTTTTAAGAAAACTATCTTCACATCCTTTTGAATTCAGGTTTAATATTTCAAGCTATTTTAATAAATAATTATGATATTATATTTAATATTTAATTATTTGATCAGTTTAATAAGATAATCTTATTTTTGACAGGAATTAGTTCAATGATTTCATGTAAATAATGATCAAATATAAAGGAATTGAGTTCGTAATATACTGATGAAAGAATGTTGCTTTTATGCAGACGGAATTCATACTCTATGTCCATATTTATTCTTTAATACGATATCTAAYTTTATTGTTTTTGTATACAAATTGTACGTTATATGGCAAATCTGTTAACTGTATTCCCTTGCAGCAAATAACCCTCCATTCCAAGGTGCCTCTATGTGACGTGTCCAAGCTTTATGCCGTTCCTTTGCGGATAATAAAGTAACTTTAGTCAACAGACAAAGGTCAAGTGTTCATCTTATTAGTTTTTAATCAGCTGATTAAATTGGATCACGAAATTGTCCTTGCGAAAAGCTTTTCCAATTGATAAAACGCGTCCGGGAAATCAAATACAAAGAGCGCAAAGGTATTTTTCTAGCACCAAGCAAAGATATTCTTTTGGCGTCACGTTCATAAAATTTTGGCACAAAATCGTGGTTTTGATATAACTTGATAACTTGATTGATAACGCCCTACACTCATATGTTGAGGATTTCAGTGTTATGATCTCTCGTTCTTTAGTGTCTACCGCCGTGTTTCATAGGAACGAGACAGTCATGCTTTGCATTCTCGGATATAAATCTAATTCACTTAAAGATGTGCAAGCATAAATAAGAAACCCTTTGATTTATGGCTCTCACTTACGTATAAGTCGATTAGTTTTAMATTTTCTCRAAATGGTGGAAACTAGCGGTAAACTAGTGTGAGCGGCTTCGGTGTTTCTAAAGAAACAGTTGCGCAAAACGATATTTTAACACTGCAAAAATGTAGGAGAAACAACTTACTGACTTTTCGGACGTTATTCTTTCGGCAGAGTTATATTTTCTCAATCAATTGTGCATGTTGCGGACGCCAATGTTTTGAATTTAAAGTTATATTCCAAAAGATGGCCAGGAAAAAAGAGGGAAAAGCGATAAGAGTACCTTGAGATTACTGCTTTGAGTGTTCCTGTTTTGATTGTGTCAGTATTGCCCGGCATTTAAAAAGCATAATATGAGTGCTCATATTTTTCAAATTTGTTTAGCTGTAAACGGCTATAACTGATACCTGGCTTCTTCATGCGGGTTCACTCATGTTTTCGCTATTCTCATCGAATTGCTTCGCTTATCTTAGAAACATCTGCTCAATCATGGTTTTTCATTTTTGAAATGTATCTATGGCACCCACTTTAATAAGCAAGGACATAACCTTTGCTGCTTTTGGCTGATTTGTTAGCTAGCACGTCTATTTCCATAAATCCTGCCGCCTGCAGGTCAAAAGTCGTTCGTCTACGTGTAAGAGTACGACACTACCCAGACATCCTAACTTTTATAATCTGGAGTCGATGTAAACATTTCAGTCTATAGCCGTGGGCAGTTTCGCTTGTTAATCCATCTTGTAAGGATTACTGTTGAAAAGCGCATTGGAAAAAAGTTTTGATAAGCTTTGGTGAGCAAACCATCTATACATGTAGCCGGGGCAAAATCTTCCACAATCATTGATCAAGCTCAACTTCAGAGCAGCAAAAGGAGGTGATCGGTAGAACTGATATACTGTATTCAGACGTTGAACTCAAGCTCAAATTCGCACTATGGTTGACGCGCTTCCAAGAAGAAGGGCTATTTCAAAAATAACGAAGCATCATAGTGATCTWACTGGTGGCCCATCTTTGGTGGGATCTTTCTTGAGGGAAGAACGAATACTCWCCAGGAAGATCAAGAGAATAGACGCCGAAAAGAACCATCTGATCTCTCATCTGGAAAATGAAATTGGATATTTTCGCAAAGCATGCAGTCATAAAATGTTTGAGATTTCGGAGGATGATTTTGAGAYGTCTTTAATTTCTGAGGATGGAAGYAATATTTCCAATTTGAARGAGATTTTGTGTGWAGATCATGATCCATTGAACAGCTCTCAGAAAGCTGATATCAAAGCATATGCYGGCAAAAAGAGTGATAAGATCGATGTTCCTTTAAGACCTCGCAGGAAAGCATTTTATCATGTTCAAGGAGATTCTCAAGAAGATTGCAATGGGTCTCCTACCAATTCACATGACTTTCACCTAAAGTTAAGTCCTTCTCAACTTCATCGTCACCAGTTGCAAAGRCAYTACAAATATGGAGGRCAACATMAATTTGYAGCTGTTTCGCCTCAAGGAAAGGACAAAAATCCATATCATCACTTTGCTCCAAAGGAGTCTGACGAGCATAGAAACCATTGCCATCGTTCGTGCGGCGCAGACAATGAAATTCGTAAGAAATCATCCCCAACACCAACCTTACGAAGCTCAATAAGGMATAGTGGACAAAGAAGTGCCAATCATGTAAGAAAGGAACTACAAAGCCAAGAGATTGATATTGACATTAACGATCTGGCAACGAAAAGCCGCAATTCACCGATTTTTGTCCGAAAATCATTCCCATGTCATTCTAACGAATCAAATGCCCTTCCAAGTACCACCTCGGAGTCATTGCTATTGCATCATCATCACACTCTCCATTTTGGACTGGATTTTTTACCCATTARGAATAACACTTCATATCCAAAGGAAAATGGGAATTTGAATCCAATGCTGTTTCATCCTAGCTTTAATAACATGATGGAGATTCCTGATGAGGATCAAAACAGTTTTCAAGTTTTAAAAAAGTGTCGTTATTTGCGAATTCCGCTCAAGCWTCTTWCTCCTGAAACTGAGAGTCTCGTTGACTAGAAAAACATATGAACCTTTGTCGATGATTCACATGCTTTTAATTGGACACATTACGATAGGTAAARCTAAAGTCCATGATGGATATGTGACTTTTTTCTTGCATGTAAACTGTTAATATTTGAAAACAAATAATAACGTTATATACACATGTGTCATATGTATATATATTGCACGAATTTGTCTCTTTAAATCGACACATTGTAATACAGTGTGTCACATACAATTGAATCTAAGATAACAATAGTCTTTGACTGGTCTACATGAGCTGACTAGGACAGGACGTTTAATGGAGTTGCACTGTTTCTGCTCCAACAACCCMTAGTTTTTCCAATGGTGTGTTGTACCAGAAAGAAGGTTTCTAAGAATCTAATATGCCATTCATTGCAATGATTATCTGCAACACCATCTGTTTAAAAGTTTCGTTGCAGAACTTATTGTCTTCCTTATTGGAATGGCCCCAAGACTTTCCCAAAGAGTATCTTTTATTCGTAGGTCTTTATACGATATTTTTTTCAATAGGCATCATATTGTCACTAACCCGTCTTAAGTCCGTACATAATCCAGTATCCGAAATTAAAGATAACAAATGCGATGGGAAGTCCAATCCGAGCGTAGTTCTCCAAGGAATATGCATTGAATTGTAAATATTTCATTTTGTATTTCTGCATCTTATTGACCGATATATTTCTYTCTGTATTTTCTTCGATTGGAAATGTTGTTTCTCCTGTAGCTTCGTTGTATCTCACTGTAGCATCAGCGATAGCGTTGCCATTTTGGTCTTTAAATTCAGGAAGMGGATACAGGGGTTGATTCTATAATAGAAGCGAACAGGAGCAATAAATCTTCTTGGGTGTCATGCCTAGTATGATACTCTTTAATCTGTAAATTATTGTCCGTATTATCCAAAAAATTAATAAAATATAACAAAAGGAGCAGTAAACACACAGTAATTACTTTTAAAAATGCGGTACAAACTAATGGGAACTTTCGGTTTAAATTCAAATTATTTTACCTCATCAATTCCAAGTTTCTCACARTAGGTCAACCCATAATGCACCAAGGCATATTCCAAGAGACTTGCAAACACAAAAACATAACAAGTAATGACGTAGACATCAAGGGCGGTCGCATAAGCTACTTTCGGACCACTGCTATTGTTCAGAAAACTACCCATTGCCAAGATGGTTATTATACCGAGGGAGACCCGGGCAGGCACCGATCGAGGATCAATCCACAATGAAATCCAACTCAGTATGAAAATAAGAAACGCTGGGACGTAGTACCCAAAAATGTAATTCATTAATCGACGATGGAATATAAACGTGGTCTTGGGCTCGGAGAATGTTCCTTAAAAGGTAAAATATAAAGAAGTATAAATGAGGCGTCATTGGTYAYGTGGTTGRCCAYGGAGTCCATGGAGTTAGACATAATCCATGGAGTTCGATAGACCTTGTAATACACTCTTCTCTCCGTTGGTGCAAGTTTTTTTCTGATAGCGCTATCGGGGAAAACTATGCCTCATCAAATTTCGGCTCATTTTTCAAAAACAGTAGTGCGTGCATGTCTTTTTCTTCCTCGATTAAAATAAAAATGAGAGTATAGCTGCGGTGATTGTTGTGTGTTGGGTAAAAGTTCTCGGACTTTTACTATTTTTTACAAATGGCGAGCTATTTAATTACCCGTATTATAGACTCCTTTCTTGTCAGTACTTGTCACGTCGGCTATAACAAACTGAAGAACCTCTACATTTTCAGATAATATTACACCCTTGCCTCTTTTCCAYCGAACAATTACATCGTCTTCTGTATTCGCATCTACAAGAAAAGCGAAAGATGAGAAAGGCAGCTATAAAGATACAAAATCAATACGTAGCTGGATAAGTACCGAGAGCACCTATCTAAAAAACTGTCAGTTCAACTACAATACTTACAGCTTCCGATCTCAAAATCACAATGCTGTTTATCAAATGGAAATCGACGAAAATCCATTTGACAGTTCAATATCGATGTTATCCTGCAAAAGAGGCCGTGATGCTTAATCGAAGATATATATCAAATAAAATATTGCTCAAAAGATGAAAAAAGGAAAATCAGCGATAGATATGGCTAGCAAAAAAATGCTCATAAATGTGTGTTTCTTATAATTGTAGTCCCCCTGTCCACCCAACYCATTTTCTTCTCTTTTATTGTACCATAGACCTTCTTTGCCGGTCTAGAGCTTAAGTTATGACTCACCTGAGACTTAAAATAATCTTTCCAGATGGCGACACAACAAGCATTACGTTTGGAGATGGCGCGTTATGAAACTCTGTAAGTCTACTGTTCTTGAAGAAGATGTCTGGTCGCCATATTGYRTCCATATARGATGGGATTAGTACTAATCTTTGACTCTCGTCTTTGCCAGGATCAGGCCGGTAACACAGCCTCTCGTCGAACCATCGCTGTCTAAACATCATGTCAAGGGAGAATTCCTATTGAATATGAAAGTCCATTTAGGCCGATGTAAATTGGACTCAACTAGCTGAAAATACGCACTTTTTTGATTAAAATCACTCAGAGCACCAGATCAAATGTGACAACTCATTTGTCAAAAATTTAAATGCATTTCACACATCTGCAGGATTGACAATTCAGACATAAAAAAAACAGTTGTTATTTGAGGAGCGGTCCCCAAAGTGGACAAGGCTAGAAAAACTGTTTGGCATGGATGCGCAGCAGATTAGGCGCCAGATTGTAGACAGAGAGAACTTTAAGTGTTTTATGAACGCACCCTTAGGAGACAATTCTCTGTAAAGGGGAATACATTGATGGTGATGATGATGATGATGATGATGATGATGATACTAATGCCGGTGATGATGATAATAATGATGATGATGATGATAATGATGATGATGATGACTAAATAACAATACAAAAGCTTTTCTGAGTCTAGTGTAGATGATTTAAGTTTACCATTTTTTGTTCATCGAATGCACCCATTGCAAACACGTGCGCTTCGGTTTCCACCTGTACTGGTCCTCCTGTGAACAGAGAGAACACAAACTCAAAAGTACAAACAAGATACCGGACATCTTCTTGCATGTTTGAAAATCCTACGAGTTGCTGTACGAGGGGTAAAAAAAAGTTGTCCACCAAAAAAAAAATAAAAAAAACCCTTCAGTAGTGCATAAAGATGGCGGTTCTAGACTACAAATTACACTCTGTGTCTATATATAGTCAATACTGGAAGGGCCTTACCTGTAACATTTGGACGGAAGTTATTATTGTACTGTGTTTTGATGTAGACCAGTAATTCTTCCTTCGTTCTGTTGCAATAATTAAGGGCGCTATATTGGATAAAAGGAATTTAGAATTTGCGTGGTTGAGTTTTTGCATGCACTTTTAGTTCAAACATTCATCGCTACACAGACTAAGCGGTCATGTTGGTCAAAACTTTCTAGAATTTTTCCAACGCAAAAAAAGCTTTATTTTACTGCCAGGCACAATTTTTGAAATCATTTACAGCAATTTGGCTTTCAGCYGAACAAAGATATATTTCAGAAGGTATGCAGGTTTGGATTGTGTCAGTAAGTAGATTTCTATTCTTTTTTCACTCAATTTTTAGTGACAGATTATTTTAATAACATTGTGGATTGAAGAGCATCTGGTACCAGTTCGAAGTTTCAAAACATTCTCACCAYGGGGTGTCGAAAGAATAGCAGGACAGCACGGTTAGCGCTCTTTCGACAGAAGATCAAGCTCTTTTCTCTTTTTAAATTACTGAATACTGAGATCCGAAACGTAAAAAAATGAGATGAATAACTAGAACATTTTGATATTCCTCTCCACTCAAAATGGCGACAAAATAAGCCTTAATAAGAATTTTCTATTGGTGACAAAGTATGGCCAAGAAAGAATTTCAGTCATAATTGCCTGGAGCTATATGTGCCCGCTGAAAGCATGTAACGGCGTCTATGATGTCCAYCGTTGGTTTAATTGCTTCTCCGCCCACCCACTCGAAATTGGCATTTCTATTTTGAAATACCTCGCACCATTCGGACACAATGACATAGCTGAAGAAGATTCTTATTTCGTTCTTTTTTGTTTAAAAATAATAATAATAACCCAAATGAAAAATTCTATATATATTTTTTTTAGACATGTGGAATTGTATAACGTTGATCAACAACTATGTGAAATATTACAGAAATCGTCGAGCAATGTTTTATATTTCTTTATTATTATTTTCAGTTGCAATGGATTATTCCTTTCAATGATGCTGATTTTTGGACGTGCAGCGTTTACGCAATAATGTTACTATATAATGCATGGAGTTAAAAAAACAAGTTTGCTATTTTTTATCTTATTGGCTAAATAAGTTTTTTGTCGAGCAACTGTTACTGTTAGATTGGTAAGCAATTTGCCGAWAATTTCATTAAAGTGTTCCTTTGAGAGCTTATGTGGTATTGTATTTTGATTATTTGCGATGAAAAGACTGGTTTGGATGTTTACTATTTTGAGCAATTATTAAGTATATTTCAGAAATAGTGTTGTTCGGCTTAAAACTATTTTCTACAAAATATAATAATGTCATTGTTTTTCTTATTATTCAATGTGAGACCACAGTTGTATGCTAACAATATTGGGAAATGTTACCGAATCCGATCGGCAGCCCAGGAGATCCCAATAAAGCCATATGCATACTTATATGAATTAAACTCTCTCTCTCTCCAATATTAGCTCATGCTTTTTAAATGTACAGAAGACTTTTTCTAGCGAGGGATAGTTGCAAGTCACCTTCTAGAAAAATTTGTCAAAGTGTGATGTGGTTCAAGTAATCCGGATAATACCTGCCAAAAGTTAAACTTTAAGAAAAAAAAATTAAGCAGCAACGAATTCAAAGTGCATCACTTCCAACAACGTTTTAAAAAGCTGATTTTTCATTTGAATGTTTTACTCTGAATCCACAGGAACAGGTTTCGGCAAGTATTTTCGTTTTTGCATGCACTTTGAAACGGAGATTTTCTTACCTTGAGGTTGAAATGAGTTGCAGAGATAGAATCACTGTTAAGAACATTGTCACATCTTTTTGTTTTGATTCAAGATGCATGGGGCCTCAAGGAAATGTTTTGGTAATGCCTTCTTTCAGTCATAAATGAGCTTCCAAATTTCACACGCTTAGATGTATTAGTYAAGCTTTRAAACTGTTACCCTCGCATAATATACAGCTGATAACGTAATTACATGCACTGAAGATGGAGCCAAGGTAACGTGGGTAACAGCGGGTCGCAGCGGGAGGCCTCTCAACCTCAGAAAGTCTTTGAATACTGTTTGGCGGCATTCAATAAGTTTAAATAACTTTTSTTTGCGACACAAATTAATTCCAAAATTGCATGATAAACATTATTCCAAAGCCTTCCAAGATAATACTCTTTTTTTATTTTCAAGGTCGTATTCCTGGAGATATAATTTTCAAATTGTTTACTATATAATATGACGTCTGTTGGGGTTTTCGGTTAGTAAAGATATTCATCCCCTGGTAAAACAAAATACAATTGTTTTACCTTGTTAATTTGACCACGTATGCCATGTTTATAAATATTAATGAACAARCGAMGCTGATTGGTCAGAAGCAGGCAAATATTGGTAAAGTTGAACTAGTTCTTTCGGTGCAATTCCCTTTCATTCTTTAAAGTTGTTAAATTTAGAATAATGTAACCAAAGTGTATCCATATCTGTCTTCTATGGAATTTCTGWGTTTTTAGCAACCCCCGCCTACCCACCCCTCGTATATTCCGAAGCTTGTTTTGAATAGTCCAATAATGTGTCAGTTTGAGTCCAATGAGTTTAACCGTCTATACAACACCCAGCCGAGAATAGACACTATGTAATCGCTTTTCATATTTTAAGCCATTATTCGACCGACCATATTGGCAATTGCGTGGCCAAGGCCTGCAAAAATTAACTCTCTGTAATGTTGGACTCCCTGTATAAAATGATCGGGGAAGCTTGTGCCGTCTTTCTCGGCACTAGTCCTTTTGTGTGCTTACTCTGACTCTGACAATAGACTTCTGAACCTTTTACGTCACTACTTGATTTTCAATGCATTGTGGGATCAGTTTCAAGAGAAAACAAAAGAAATCCGCCATGTTTTGTCCCAAACATGTCCTACAATGCATTGCGTATACGGTACATGACGTAAAAGCTGCAGAGGTCTATATAGATCGATGATTTAGTGTGGCGTTTCAGGCATGAGTTCAGTGGTGAACAATTTTAAGTATAATTTCCAAACTAACCCTTATAGTCGCTGGCTCTATATACATGCCTGAATATTGTTTCTACTCTGACTACTTCAGCAGAGCTCAATTACTATAATATAGGAACAGTTAAGAAAATATATTTTTCAGTTTATTTGTCAATAAAATCCTGTTAAAGGGTACATATTAAGTGGTTTGTATAAGCAGAGGGTCTACATGATTGATCTTTACTGTGTGAATACTTGTGTTAAAAACCGAACACAAACAAACAAACAAACAAAAAAGGATGCAAAAGAGAAATACACAGGCTAAATGTAAAAATTTGAAGATGTTTTACGTTTACAATACACTTAAATTTCGCTTCACAATTCGGCATGTGAGCTCAAACACTTTTGCTGGTAACAGATCAGTGCCTCCTTAAGTTGTCTGTCTCCAATGAAGTCAAGTGCCGTATCCCCGTCATTATTTATCGTAAACAAGTCCCCCCCATTTAGAATCAAATATCGTGCAATGTCAAGATATCCTTTGGCTAAAGCATAGTGCAGCGCCGTCCATCCATCCACATCTTGCTTGCCAACCTCTGCGCCAAGATGAACAAGAACTTGACAACATCTTAAACTGCCGAGAAATGCTGATGTTCCTAAGACAGTGTGTCCGTAGTCATTGAAGAAGTTAACTTCGAATTTGACCGTAGATTGCATTATTTCTTCAAGCTCTTTTGTTATCTCTTGGCCAGGAACAGTCTCACGGACTATAAGTTCCTCTGGAAAGCGGAACACGTCGGCTGGTTCTGTTTTCTTCTGTTGCCTTACAGGCTCTGCAGCCATATTTTCCAATTGTACAAAATTGTCTTTATGTAAGTTGAAGTTCCTCGACTTGAATAATTGTTTATATATCTATACTGACTAGAGAAAAGTGTCCGAAGTGTTTCTATGTATCTTGGTTTGGTGAAGAACTGGAAATTTAAAGATGTTCATAACTTGTGTTGAAGGAACAACATACGGTTCAATTACTGCATGCAAAGCGTCTTCTCCGGCTTCCTCTTTRTGTACAGACCTTTAAGGCTGTGTTTCTTAATGTTCTACTGCACTTAGTTGTTCGTGTATAAACCTTAAGTTAAAACTCCAGCTACATTATAAGTTCTTTCTATGGAAGGATGTTGACCATAGTACAGTCTTGGTGGTTAAAAGCTTCTTCTTGGGAAGCGTTTTAGCTGTGCATCGTATTGTTATATCTTAGTTGTGGTAATATGTTTTGTGTAATCTTCATGCGGAGAGATTTTCTATTGTTTCTAAAGTATTGATCTCCTTTGTTGAAAAGTATTAAAACTATAGGACATTGATTACAGCAACTGTGGGCCGACCAACGAGTGATGTCTTGCGAAACCACAATAAAAGCTATTGAAGCTCAACAAACAAAACTTTATTGAGCTGTAGAGCCGCATTCTAAGCAAAAGTTTTAAAGTTTTGAATAGGTTTTTATCTACGCCGAATAGYGAAGCATTGGTGGATTGATATAACATCTCAGGAAGAATAAGGGAAACCAAATTGTGCAGGCTATGGATAAATAGTATTGGTCAATTAAGTCTCTCAAGAGGTCTCTAGTTGTGCAATAATGAATATTAACTGTACAGAGGTACTTTTTTACCTTGCAAAACGCAGAGCGCTACCTCATCATTTGCCTAATTGAAAAATAGATATCTTTCTTCGTGTCAAAACGTATTTGTGTGTAAATGCAATCTATTCTGGCCCTAACGAGCCAGTTATATTAGTGATCGGTTCCTGCCATTGGTCAACTCAATTTGAACACGTTTTGCGGTTATAAGTGACTAAATTCAGACTAAAAAAACTTGATTCAACAGCAACATTTCCATAGATTGCATTACGCTTTTTTTAATCAATTTTAAAACTATTTTCCAGCAAAGCCAAAAGGCAAACGTCAAATTAGCTTAATATATTGATTGAAAAGCTGTCAAGCTATAGCTGGTTTAAGATGTATCAAAGATTGAGCGAGTCAACGCCATAGGTCCGAGTCAAAAGATTGAGTTTTCGTGGGCTGAATATGGCTCTGCATGCTAGTTTTCTCCACTCGGCTGCGTTTTTAAACACTTCAAGCATCAGAGCCCCCACGAGGTCCATAAGACCAAACTGAGTGTGGTTAAAGTCCAGATAATCAAAATCAATATGCTAACAAGAAAATAAACTCAGTCTACAACATTTTATGATGAAATCTAATAAATTAAAGAGAATCAACAGAAATTTGGCGATTTATATTCTTCCAGATTTAGTCAAAATTTTGTTCGCTCGTCGATGAGCTATTGATTATAATAAAAGCACTGTAGGTGTGAGRTTTCTGGCTAGTTTCTTATGTGAYAAATGTGTTTTCTCGCCCATGAATGACGCTTATTTGACGTGAATTACCGTAATGGCTTCATACACAGTTCATACGCACCTTAACAGTGTTATATTGACACCATATTGATAAATATTTAAAGTGTTATATATCTCCCAATAACAACATTTTGTTTGATGTAAAAGCTTTCAAGTTTGTCAAAGTTAAGCCACTGTTAATCCCACAAATAAGACTATACCTGTTCCTGAATATGGAGAAAGCGACCATCAAAGGTAAACATATACATAGACTGGTTTGGTTTAATGGTACGAATACACAATAACGCGAAAAATTGAGCAAGAACTCTTTATTCAGAAAGGAAAATGTGAATTTTAAATCAATGGATAGTTAATGGTTAAAAGGGACATTTGGAACGCAGGGATCTTCACAGTCAAAAAGCAACGAAAATCGATAGGTCGACTGGCTTAATATACCTATTTTCCTATGAAGGCGAAATGGTTTGGATTAAAAGTATCATTGCTGCAGCTTGCATCTTTTACCTTCATTTACAACGAGCAAGGTATGTTCAGACTGAGTCTAATCATGCTTTTTAACACTTTGTACAATTTTTCTATTTCTACCAAATATTGTCATTTTTGACACATGCTAGAAACGCCACCTGAACCAAGACTTTTTTTATATACAAACAAAGACGCARCCGTTGTAAATTAAATCAAAAAGAAAAAAGCTCAAGTTAAAAAGAAAAAAAAAATCGTAGTTCTGGTCTAATTGGGAAATTTATTCGTAAATTACGACTTCAAATTATAGTAAGCAGTCTTAAAAGGCATTTGTTTTCACGACGAAACACAACGTTTTACTCACTTCGCAGATTTTACGAAGTGCAAACGATTCTAGGTGAGCGTTATGAACACGGGACGCTGTCTCCTTCACAAAAATCAAAAACCTCACCTCCATAAGATGTCGGAGAAATTTGAACAGAAAAGTATACTTACAGTATCGAGCCAACGATTCCGCAAAAATCCAAAACAATTCCTGGCCCAAAAAGGGGATTATCTGTGCGAGTGGACACAAAGCTTTTATTCTGGGTTTAGTAAAAAAATCAGCTCTTTATCAAATCCATTCATGATAACGATTTCACGCGCACTTGGTAAATTTGCACTGAGACAAATTATTTATCACAAAGGAAAACAAACTCATTAAAAGTATGTAACTTTAGTCATTATTAGTACATTATTTCCAATTAACATTCGAAATAAGGAAATTTATTAGTATTTGTATATTCTATTGTTATGAAAATGTTGAACATTTTGAAGGTGAATTGCTATTACAAATTTATCCTTTTTACACGTGGGAATGCGTAGATAGCGATGGTAATGACGACCTAGTTTTCTTTGTCACCTAGTAGACTTCCATATTAAGATAAAATAAATTTACCCTTGGCAACTTACTGCCTCKCAAGGATGGGAATTTTTTTGTATGAAAAACCGGCGACAATAATAATATCTTTCCCTTTTTTTTCACCATAGCTTTTTCTTTTCCAACTTACATGAATTAGGAACTGGTGTCTCTTGTGTAGAAATAATTGACACCATGAAACAGTTCAAATGTTCCGACAAGACCGCAAGAATCATGAAAGTGTTGAGGCTTTTTCCGAGCTGCTTATTTGACTATTAAAGTGTGAAATTCAAATACAAACGAAAACGATAGAATTAGAGTGTACTAAGATTTATTAATGTATATTTCACGGTTTTTTTTTACTTCACTTTCATCAAAGTTAATGATTGATTTATTGAACCACAACGGTATGTCCCGAGCTATTGATTCAACCCGTGAAACAAGAATTGACTACTATTGATCCAACCCGTGAAACAAGAATTGACTATTTAAGTGTGATAGTCAAATAGACACAAAAGAAAACAATGCAATTAGTGTAATATCTATTTCACAGTTTTAATATCCTATATGCACTAATATTAAGTAAAATATATCAACAAGTATGACTTGAACAAAAAGCAATACATGTATACAACGGTAATAAAGACTTGGATTGATATAAGCATGAATCATGCGGAATGTAAGTATTATATCGTATATATTTCTCATTCCAGTGGAGCAATTTGTGTCAGTAACTCAAGCAGGAGCATTAATGATGCAATAAAATGCATCAAAACTGGTTATGATAAAGTTCAACGTCCAAATGTCACAGGTAAGAGAAGAGCTTACACTGGAAAAAAACGCGATGTAAATTTGATGTAAAAATGATTTAAATGGTGTAAATAATAGAGTGGTTTTCATTAACCCGTGAAACACACGTTAGCGTATTTATCGCTATTACACTTTGGCTCTTTTGTTTTTTTATTGTCTCTACGCGACGATTGATTACATTCTAATTAGTACATTTTGTCTCATGGGCGGGTTTATGAAAACCAATCTATTTACATGATTTTGCACAACTACATAATATTTACATAACATTTACACACTTTTTACATACATTGTAAATTTGATTTACATCACATTTACACACTTTTTACAAACATTGTAAATTTATTGGAAAAAATTTACATGATATTTCCATGATTTTGAACACTTTCGGGATATTTACAACTTTTGGGTAATTATTATAGATTGAATTTACATCATTATATTTCCATTACATTAACAACCTTCAAGGACAGCGATTTTTTCAAGTGTTATAAGTTATTTGAAAGGATAAACTTACAAAACCATTAATGTTTCAGGTGGTGGTGCACTTCGTATTGAGGTCGACGTTGTCGTAATATCTGTAGGCAGTTTGGATGATATTAACATGGTGAGATGATAATGTCTTCAYATAACTTTTCCTGTAAATTATACGATTAAAAGATGGTAGAGCTGGAACTTTGCTATGCTGTGTTCCACACTGCGACATAAGCAGAAACAGAGGCTGCACTTSAATTAAACATAAGATTGTGCTCCTGTTTTGATACTAATAATGTTTTAAAATAAGCACAAGCAGGAGATGGAAAAATATTATTTTCTTATTTTTTCCATCACTTCTTCTTTTCCCGGTTCACACGTAGAAAATTCACAATCTTCTTTTTCTGCTTATTGTGTTGTACCGTCACTACTAGAGCTCGCTATTAAGTGATGAGAGACCTTGAAAGAAGTGATGACGGGAGGGATGAAAACACGATCTGTAAGCAGTTGAAAGTATATTCCATTATTTTGGAAAAAACAATAAAAGTTATTATCATTAAAGTGGGGAAGAAGCATAATTATAGTGAACATTTCATAAATATCAACATGATCCGTTTTTCAAATGATTATCATCATTGACAGCAATTCAGTGTSGAATTTTACATGCGMCAAAAGTGGATGGACCCTTTGCTAAAGTACAATGCRTCCTCACTGGGTCCCAATATGGCTTATGCAACCCTTAACCATCACTTGGTGAAATACCTTTGGCTGCCTGACACCTATATTGAGAACTTAAAGTCTTTAAGGATAGTGTTTGGCGAGAGTGGGCCATTCATTAATCAGGGGTTTAGGCTCTATCCAAATGGAACGATACACTTGAGTTCAAGGTATTGTGTAAAAATTGTTTTAATGGACCCTTTAAATTTTAATTATTTGTTCAGGTATTGCTCTTTGCTTCATACGGATTGTGAATTTTACTCAATCCAAACGAAAAATATTTGATTACCAACATTTTTGCGGACGTCCTATAACACTTTAAGATCACTTTGGGTCAAATTCGTGGGTGATCATAGCATTTTTGATGATGCATTATCATCAATCAAGATGCACAAACTTCCTCAAAGCTTGGTCCAAAAACTTTGATTCTCCATCGGCCATGCAAGGTGGCCAAACGTCTTCAAACTCCATCCAGCATATTTCTGATATTGATGGATAATCCTATATTTCTTGTTTGAACGGACATGCTGACAATTGAGCCAGTGTTTCGAAAGCTGTACTTTACCAGCTTCAAATTTTTGTCTTTCCATTTTTGYAGCATCAGTTCAACCTTGTCATGCAGAATGCGTTTTGAGGATTTTCCAATGGACAAGCAAGTGTGTTATATTACTATTTCAAGCTGTAAGTACTAATGGAGAATAAGGAACATGAGATAATGGAAAACTCTAAGTGCTTAATTTTTAAAATGGGAGATTATTCCGGACGAAAGACCCTTGGAAATAATAAGCAATAAGAACCAGATAAAATAACAACCTATACCCAGAGCCATATCAAAGAATTGCCCCACAAAAGTTGCCCTTCGYTTAGCAGCCATATATGGTAATCTTACCTTATTTGGAAGTTCGATAGAAATGGTTTTTGTCGATTTTCTCGACTTTTAAAGCTTGAAATCATCTGAAACTTGCAGATATTATAGCGAAAACACTTCTCAACAATCGGCCATTTTGTTTGTTTCCATATATGGCATGGATTCGCTAAAGGAAGCCCAAAACTAAAAAGCACAAATGATATACAATTCTTTGATATGTAAGATTCAAATGACATTAGACTATCATTACCAATTATCATCCATTGTATTTGTGCAGATTTTTTCACTGACAGTGTACTGTCTTATCAATGGGGAGAGCTGTCTAATTTCAAAGGAATCCTGAAGACCAATCAGTTTGACATAATTGGGATTGAAAAAGTCAGATATCTGTTGAACTACTCTTCAGGTAAGACAAGACTYAGAATGGAAAGCAACTGTTGGCTGAGAGAGTGAGTCTTTGAAACACGCATTTAATTACGTAGTTGTTAATTTTTTTTGTGTAAGTCGTAGTCAGTATAACATAAAGTGTCGTACCATCTCGTTAGGTGTTGTGCAGTATGTTTTTCTTGTCATATAGCCTCAATTCATTCAGGAGTTAAAATGGGTACCTAATACTAACATCATACTGGGGATAACCTGCGACTGCGATGGTCTGGTATCCTGTTAATTTGGAGTATAGCAATGCTTAAAGTTACTTGATACAAGTGAAGCCGTCGAGTTCCAATCACCTGCACAATGAGCTTTCTGGCTTGATGGGCTTTCTAATTCATTTTTTATTCTGGAATTTTGTCCTACATTTTAGGAAACTACAGCACACTCCGAGCAGCTTTCAAATTTCGTCGTCGAATACAAACCTTTCTTCTTGGATTCTACATTCCCTCAATCCTAACCGTCATGCTCTCGTGGGTGTCCTTTTATATCAGTCCTCACTCTGCGCCTGCGCGTAGTGCTCTGGGAATCATCACTGTTTTAGCGATTGGTGGATTTCTTACTGGTCAACGAAGTTCATTCCCCATCGTGTCATATGTAATGGCCGCTGACTTGTACATWCTGACTTGTTATATATTCGCCGCTATGGCTCTGTTAGAGTACGCTGTTGTTCATTACTTGGCTGTTTATGAATCACAGACGACCACGACAAAGAGTGAGAAGGTATAGAGTATTATTTATAAAGACAAATAGTCCACTTACACTTATGATAAACGTTATGCAGGACTTGTCAACATACAACGGTGAAAAAAATGATACTGTGTCCAAAAAAAGAACGCATGAAAAAAATGTTGTGGACATAATTTTACAATTATTGCAACAAGATGAATATAATCTAGATCCCTTGTCAATGTTGACCATTGATGGCATGCATATATATGACCACGCTTCCATGCAACATTGAAAAAGGAACATTGACAATACTATACGAAGGGCTTAGGGGGTCTCAAATATTTTGTCCCCAGTTGTAGCTTTTATAGTCACCAGTCCTATTAATCAAACGATGAATCAATGTTTCATCGATCAATCTATAGGCTACAAAATAAATTTTCCTGAAAAAAGGCCAAATAGAACGCTCTTAGCATCAAATAACGATCGTTACTCGTTTTTCAGAGCAAAGAAATTGGTCAAACGAACGACATTGACATCGATGAAGATGAATACAAGCCAACAATCAATGGCAGCATCGAAATGAAAACAATAAACAAAACATCAACTCAACCTACCGACAATAACGTMATTTCCTTACCACCAAGTAGCTCTAACGAACCGGAAATACGTCACGAGAATTGCGTTTGGAAGATATTAAAGGCTTTCTTTACGTCRCCTTGTAGAGCTTTCCAAATGATAAAGCAAGATGCGCTAATCATTGACAAGATCTCAAGAGTCTGTTTCCCACTGGGATTTTTAGTATTTAACGCCATATATTGGGTCTATTATAAATTAGAATATGATACCAACGAAATTTGATGTCCACAAAGAGCTGCTTCTGGAGAATTTTCGCTCCGCGTTTTTCAAAATTTGCATCGAATGACCACCTGGCATAACACTTGCAGTTGAAAATGGTGGAGCGATTTCACCGTAAAGTCCACGTTGCCAAACCACACAGTTTCCTTGCCTATTGGACATGACCTTGACCTCGCGGTAACGCATATGCATAGATTGCCGACCTCATTCCCAGGCCCTTATCACTTTGCTTGGTGTCAGAGAAGGGATAAGAGTCCTGGGAACGAGGTTGATAGATTGCTATAGCTTTAAATAATATAATTTTCAAGATATACCTTYAAAAGGAAATTTGCAATGCAAAATTACTAATGGTAATGGTAATGGTATCTGATTAATCATGATCACGAGGAATTGTAAATAAAATAATAAATCTGGTTTACGCTGAACTGTCAAAACTATCGCGAATGTACAAAAATTACATGTTTAAGTCAGCATCTTCTTATATTTCCTTTATCTCCTACCCCGATCTGTGTCTCCTTTTCTTTTCAATGATGATCTTAAGCTTTTATATACCTTGTAAAATGCATGAGTTCAATGTACATGTATTGCTGTTTTTCAAAGTTAAAAATGACCATTTCTCTCCTTTGCGGTTCTTGGTGCTTCTCTCAATGTCACACTACCTGTCGGTGAACGACTTTTAACAGGTTTTCGTGGTATAGCTACTTGTAAACAAATCAACCCTCATTTCGCCTATTTTGGGATATGAAAAACTATATATCAAAAGATTTCCTTGAGATGTGTATAGCACATTGTCCAGCAGGGCTAGCCGAATATATATAATATATATCTAATGACTATTTATTTAAAAAACTGAATGTTAAACGAGAGCTTGTAATATCAATTTTATTATATGGTTCTCAAAATATGATATTTATTGTTTCGTTCTGTATATATATTTTACTAACTGAAAGAAATGTGGCATTGTGTGTTTAGATTTAGCACCCGATTAAGCTCAAAACTCAACCAATTCGAACTCAATTCGAAAAGGATCGTGTAAAAAAATATGGATCCTTGTACGTATTTTTCTGTAAGTGTTTAGAAATGACAGCACCMCTGCGCCCATCTCACTTTACATGTAACTGTCAATTAATATTATGTAAAAGTAAAGTAATGTAATATAAACAGCAGTGAGAATGACTTGGCAATTTCCGCTACTTATAGTACCAGCGCCAAGAATGAGAAATCTCAACTGTTTTGTCAGYGAAACTATCTTTGATTCATTAATGGTGACCAAGAGATAAGCCATCGTGTTATAAAAACCAGTAATATGAACTATACTATGAATAGTGACCTAACAAACTTCGCATATCTTTTCAATTATGGCTGAAAATGTGTTTGATTTATATCAGTGCACCATCATTTTTCAAACAAACATGATAGTGGGATTTATAACTATTTTCTGTTGTATATAGTCCTATATTTTTCTGATGTGATGGTGAAACTGTGTTACTTATTTATTTGTATTTTCTTCTAAATCCTTTGTACCGGTTTTTTAATGATTTCAAAACTTGAATCAAAGTCATTAAAAATAAATGAAACAAGAATAACACTTCATGTTTTGATCCCTTCATTACTGCACGGTCACTCATGGTAACAATAATGATAAAAAATAAGTTTACCAGCTGCAGAAAAAGACAGACTAAAGGATGAAATGTCATTGGCTTTCGAAATCAAAAACATAATAGGTAGTTTTAGCAGATAACGAAATGAAAAATTTCTAATACAAAGTATATTAAAAAAAGGTTTTTTTTTCTTGATGAAATGACACCTTGCACTTAAGAGTGGGTCCTGTATTGTCATTAATAAAATTTACATTTTGGTCAAGATCTTTCAACAAAAAGGCCCCACATTTGACATTCAATTCCCAGTATATGTCTACATTGCTGGTACTTCGATAAACATCTGTCATCGAAAGTCCTATCTATATCATTTTTGTTTGGCACTATCGAACTTTAAAAAAAAGTGATTTGTCAGAGCTCTGTAGTTGGTCTCTATAAATACAGCCTCGTTGGTTGCTTACATAATTACGTTTTGAGGCCCACATGCAATATTAGGGTATGATTTGTTGTTAAGGCTCAACTGTGCCAGACTGTCCTGATTTTCTGCCAAAGCTCTGACAGACACTGACAGAAAAGTCGAGCTCAGTTTGAATTTGAACAAGAAACATAAATAATATGGTGGCATTGGCCAACGTTTGTCTTTCTTGGTCGTTGTTTTTAATGCTTTGTCATACAGTCTTGAGGTGAGTATGGGATATATAATTGTTCAAATATCACGAATTTGTTGAGAAAACTTTATCAGACTTAGAAATAGTGCTGTCAGCAAAGCTGTCAAACAAAGAAACTCATATTTTTTCGTGAGCACTTTTTCAAAAATTTGAGTTCGTGTTCATTGTGTATTTTCTACCGATATTACGCGCAACATCTCAAAACAAGCATTGCAAATCATTACATTTGTGCCTTTTATGGACTTAGGCACAGTTAAGTTACATGCATGATACACTTTGAGTTTACCAACTCGCTGATATAATTTCACGATTCCAGTTTAATTGTACTTGTATAATTTACATAGAATATCTGACTTCAAAATCTTATGAAGGTGTGCATTAATATTTTATAATTTATAAGTAATTATATTTCGGAGTTGACTAAATGCTTTTCAAAATTTTTATTAACGTTCAGGRCATTAAAATGACCAATATGCCAAATCCCTCGCAATTTAAAAGAGAAAACAAACAAATATCACCCGTTTATTTACCTTTGGTGACTTTATATGGATGCGCGGTAGGTTTTTAATCGATTTTTTTTTTAAGGACTCTGTGTTCCACACCAAGCAACTTTCTTTATATATATTTCTATTGGAGTTACTTTTTATTTTAAAAAATTCATGGTCCAGCTGAACCACCAGCAATTTTGTTAAAATATCAGTTGACTTATGTTTTTCCCTTTAGTGCTGACTCAAGCAAAACATGTGACTCAAACCCAAGAAAAAGCATTAAAGATGTGATAACTTGTATTAAAGAAGGCTACAACAACGTGCAACAACCTAATGGAACAGGTTTGGCAACAGTTATCCTCCTACTCATGTATTAATGGATCCATATATGTATTGTTCGTTTCACTTATTCCCATGATTTTTAAAAGATAAAAGACCGGCGGCCATGTTGGAGGAATGAACAATAGATACCAATGAGCTGAGAAATCCTTTGTTGAAGTTCCTCCACTGGCCGCTGTGACGTAACGGCTGAAAACGAAGAGTTACTGAAATTATTCCTTTGTTTTCTTATTTATTTAGATGGAAAAGCTGTGCATATTATTGTAGATATGGTAATTATATCGATTGGAAGCTTAAACGATGTCGAAATGGTACGTCAGGAACCATTAAACTGTTTTATTGTACATGTGATCGATTCTCGTATCCAGGTCCTTCTCAGCTTCCCAATAGAAAGTCAAAGACTCTTGTTGAAAGCGAATGATTCTTTGATTTGATTGGTTAAAAAATTCGACCCATGCGTCATATTATACGACCCAGATTAATTCTAGGTGTTCTGGTATTGTCTACAACCAGAGCCTTCGACTTTACGTAGGGAAACTGAGATGGATGAACTGGGCAAGAAAATGTTTGTGTTCCTGGACTAATGATACTTTCATTTGATTGGTAACTTCGACCCCATGCATCATATCATATACGACCCAGATTCTGAATGGGTCTTCCGGCATTGTCTCCAACCAGAGCACTCAAGGGAAACTGAGATGGATGATCTGGGCAAGAGAATGATTGTGTTCCTGGACTAATGCTTACTTCACTTACCTTATTGCAGGACTATACACTTGAGTTTTACCTTCGTCAACGATGGTTGGATCCTTTGTTGAAATATGATGTGTCGACCCTGAAAGGCAACAGCAATTACATCGTCTTGGATAACAACCTTGTAGCTAAATTATGGAAGCCAGATACTTATGTTGAGAACATAAAAGACATAGGATTTACTTATGCATCTGGTCCTTTTGTTAATCAGGGCTTAAGACTGTTTCCTAATGGMACCGTTCTTATCAGTTCAAGGTAGTTTTTAGCAGTAACTGAATTAACATAAGTAGTTCATGCCCATATTATGGGGGAGGGGGGGGGGGGGGGGTTCAATATTTTAATATCATTGAATATAAAACGATTCCAGTTACACAAAGGGACTTGTGCACGGGGTGGTTTGAAGGGTTCCAGAAACCCCATTCCTTAGCAGTWAAAATGTGAGATTCAGAAAATCAAAAGGGTACCGCGCGCATATTCCAAAGTTTTTTCGGTGTGAATCCAAAATTTCAGTTGATGCCATCAACTATTTCCTTTATTTTTATTTCTAACAGAGTAAGTGCTCGTCTGTCGTGCAAAATGGATTTTAAAAGTTTCCCTATGGACAAACAAAATTGTCCTATTACYTTATCAAGCTGTGAGTACTGCAAAATTTGTCTAAAAAAAWTTATATTATCAAAGATCATTATTACCATAACCAGCAATGAACGTCCTCGATCTGATGGATGATTTACAAGGCAAATGATTATTATTTATAGTATAACTTTGAAARTATCTCTTGATCAGTAGTTGAATTCTTTATGGAAGCTTCGTGGAGATTTTGGAAAATTCTTCACATGTTGTTCGGTTTCTCTTTTTAATCTGTCTTTTGCGTACAACATGTATGTATAGAAAAAAGCCATTTAAACTAKTTTCTTTAACAAACCTCCTCGTGAAACATAACACCATGAGTAATTTGAAAATATTTTTTTCGAATTATTTGTTTACTAATTTTTAATATCTCTCTATTGCTTTAGACTTCTTTACAGAATCTGACCTTTACTATTCCTGGGGCGAAGTTTCAGTGTATGAAACATCTAAACACAACAATCAATTTGACATCCTCGGATTTAACAAAACTAGGGATAGTCTTWCGTATACTTCAGGTAAGAAAAATACAAATACACTCGATGGCTATTTATGCTAGCGGATCTTCCTGCAATCACACTACAACTCAATTTCCCATCTTCATTTCTCGCCCTTTTTGATATTTTTTTTTAGGAAACTATAGCTCATTAATCGCTGTCTTCAAATTCCGACGTCGAATTCAAAACTTCATGCTGGGGTTCTACATCCCCTCAATCCTTACCGTGATGCTCTCGTGGGTGTCTTTTTTCATAAGTCCGAACTCTGCGCCCGCGCGTTGTGCTCTTGGAATTGTCACTGTCTTGGCTGTTGGCAACTTTTTAACTGGTCAAAGGAGTTCCTTCCCAATGGTTTCRTATGTAATGGCCGCTGACCTGTATATACTGGTTTGTTATTTTTTCACGTTCCTGGCATTGGTGGAGTACGCCGCTGTCCATTATTTCTTTGTGTATGAGCTGCAGCTTAATCAGATCCATCACAAGAAGGTATGAGGTCAATATCTCGTTTTATTATATGACCGTGTAACTAGGAGTATGGGCGCTAGCAAATGGAGGCATTTGATTGGCTGAATTCGCTACGCTCGGTCTGTAGTTCCCGACCTCAGTCAAGACCTCGCGCTCGATTAAAAGACCTAATTAATCGGTAAATTCTTCTCAAAGATATTTTCCTATAGAAAGTGCGCACATTCTGTTGTTACATGAAATGGCATTCTCTTAAGGCATGCTAAGAGAACGCGAGTCACTACTTGGGGCTAAATCGGAACTATTACAGCAGAAACCGTTGCATCGCGACTTCAATGTTCAAACTGAAATAGTTGGGATTTAGGTTTTTCTGCGACTTGTGGGCGGAGCTTGATACTAATCAGCCAATCATTGAATGAGTTTTCGAAAAGCTCCACCCCTCAGATTGAAAGAAAGAACAAAATCCAGACAAACTTCAAAACAAAGAGGTCGCGATGCAACGATTTCCGCTGTTAAGAATGAATTAATACCTTTATTCTTTAATTCTTGTCCGATGTTTCTATCCGCTCTTGCTGTTTATTTAAACCAACGTGATAACTATAGTCCCGGTTCATCTCTTTTTTTTTTTTGCCAACGTTTTTGGCCTTTCTTCTAACTTCAAATTTATTCCGATCTTTTTTCTGGATATCATGTGCCTCGAGTGAGTTTTCTTTTTTTAAGGATGGATCACTACACTGTGCGCATATTTTCTCGAACTCAGTTTTTCTAAACCTAAAACTATTTTGTTATCCTTATTCTTAGCAGCAACGCGCTTCAGATAGAMGAGCTGGCTCTGTTATAGACGAAGGCGAACTTGAACAAGCAGAAGAACAAGATGACTCCTCACTTAGCGAGATCAAACTTCCAGAACCAAAGACAATAGTCCGGCCGTTCAGTAGCACAGTGTTACCTACACCCGAAACTCCCCAGAAACCCTCCAAGAAAGAAAGTTATTTTAAGTTCTTTCGACTGGTAATACTTTCGCCATGCATTTTGTATAATGTGGTTAAAAATGACGCGTTAATAATCGATAAATTTGCACGGATTGCRTTTCCATTAAGTTTTGGAGTTTTTAATCTTTGTTATTGGCTGTTTTATAAGACTGAACATAATAGTGACGCTTGATAATCTTGTAGCTGGTGGGTTACTTGTACTTTTCTGGATCGAAATACTCAGTCTGACATCTGTAGAATAGCTTGGATCATGAGTCGCATAGTTTAGTAGTTTTCGATTTCCAGGGAACTGCCAAACGATGTCAACAAGCGGCTTGCTTCTCATGACGATGCTTTGCTTCGAATAATATAACCTGCTTAGGTTTCCAACACCAGATATCACATGTTTTAAATTCACCGCCAATTTTACCAATTAAAATGGTTTTCAATCAACATAACCATAACATATCATTTTAARTCGGACTTGTGTACTGGTGAAATTCGACGCTTGATTCTAACGGGACAGGATTCATGAGCTGCAACGCCATATATGTTGCAAATTTTAAGCAAAGCTGTTGAAATGTACATAATCAAGTTTGCCTGAAACCTTTGAATTGTTTACAATTATGGTTTACGTGGCGTTTCTATGGTAACAACCCACGTGATCATTTGTACAAAACTGAGTCTCTATTTGCCATATTAGTATTTGGGATATTTCAAATCTCGAGCTCTTTTTTGTAGCGATTTCTTTTTTTCTAAATACAGGTTTTGTACATACTTCATGTCTTGTACCTTGTCTACCGAATACCAGGAAATAATTAATTTATATCATAAAATGCAGGAAATGTTTTTACTTATCAAATTAGTCTTAGTCCTTTTGGTTTCAATGTTTACTACTAGCTAGAGTAACTAAATCTGTGCTGATGATAATAAAAGATAAAAAAATACTATTTGGTTGGCTAAGTTAAAAACATAGAAATAACAAAGACAACAATTCACCCCAATGCGCATGCGCTTGCAACAATACCTTGCTTATTTCTTTAGTTGTGAGCAATTCACAAGATAACGTGAACTACAAAGTGCCAAAAAAAAAAAAATTACCAAGACAAAAGATTGAGATTACCAGCGAMAACATGCGAGGAAATTTGGTGGGAGCTCAAACTAAACCACAGTTGGTCCTTCTTAAMCAGGTTACTTAAACTTCAAATCTCACTCATAATTCGTTACAAACACAGCGTGTCAACACTGAAGATTCATCATTTAAAAAGACAATTTCATTAAGCGAGGAGCTATCTTTACGCTGTACCATGGCTGCGAAAACAACATATATAGCTTTAATGGTGTCTTTTTACATATTTTGCGCTCAAAACACAAGGTAAGTTCAATGTACTAAATTTTCAAGTCGATTTATTTAAAAGTGACAATATCCCAAACTAATTGAATTTTCGTTTTCATTGTGTAATCTTCGAAACTGAAGAAACTCCTGCAATAAAACTACAACTTTTTTCATCCATTAACTTTTTACAGTTGAATTTAATAATCAAAATTACGACTTTTGTAAAATAAAACTCAATGTATTTGAAGTTTTTGTCATTTTTTAGACCGTCGTTTCTTCATCAAAAATGCGCTTTGTTTTGAATGAGAATTTACAGCTCACAGGGGTTCAGAAATTGCATGATCGTGCTGAGAACTTAGTATTTGTGTGATGTAGATCAGGTTTAAGTTATTTTTATTAGCGGTTTTCTGAAGCTTGTTTTCAAGCGTTTAAAAAACACGGAAGTAGGAACTTAAAGAAATTCTGACCGCTAACTTATGTCACTATAAGTTAGTTGGTATTTTCTAATTTAATTTGTCATTGAACTGCCGTATTATGCTTGAATRAGCATTAATAAACATAATTTTAAAGTATTGAATCATTTGGGAACTGTTTTAGCAAGAAAAGAGAAAAAATCACATGTCATTAGCCAAAATGCACCCGCGATATGATTTATATTAGCAGAATTGTTGCAAATCACTGTACATCAAACTTAAACAACTGTTTACAATGAAGGGAATCAAGCTCCTTTTCTTGGGAATTGTTCAAAGCCTCCATAATCAATTGTATTATCAACTAACAAGTCATAATACATTATTAATTTTCTGGTAACTTATTTTCGTTGTCAGTAACTTCCTATCATTAATTATCTAATGTCGCATGAAAAGGTGTAACTAATTGTAAATTAGTTTGGAATAATAAAAAGTTATAGTGGATCGAGCTTTCTTAGCTATGCTTGAGAAGTAAACTGAGTTAAAAAAMAMAAYAAAACAAAACAAAAAAATATCATATTCGTGTACTGAATAGCTTATATCAATCTTAAATCTTATCTAGCCAGACTTACTATGCATTAACTATAGCCCACTAGAGAACCTTTAAAACGAGAAAATTAATCTTTGTTTATTGTAGAAGAAGTTTTATTTTTCTAATGCTGATATAGTCTTTCTATATTGGAAAAAAACTCTTTCTCAAGTTATACTCGAAGTTTAAATGCATAGAGATGAAGCTAAAACAATACGTGCTAATATATTATTGATGCACTCGAAAATACTTCGCGTTAAACTAATTAGTTGGAGTTCAAACAGTAATAACACAATTAAAGTGAGGAAGAGATGCCTTCTTCCAACTAGATATTAAGGATATAAGACCAGTTGTACACGAAGGAGGCAGTTCAGTATCAACTAATTTTCTAGCACAATTTTGACCAAAACAATTAAAAAAAATTGAAATTCCAAACGAGTAATCCAGCCAAAATCATAACTAGCAAAGTCTCAATTATTATAATCTCGTATAGTTAATTCATGTACATAAAAGAAGCATTCATCTCAAATCTCACTYATTATMATCTCGTATAGTTAATTCATGTACATAAAAGAAGCATTCATCTCAAGTTCTTTATTTTAAAACATGATTTCTTGATATTTTAAGTGCTAATCATGGGCCCAAGTGTATCAGAAACGAAGCAAAAAGCGTTGATGATGCTGTACGATGTATCAAATATGACTATGACAAGGTGCAAAGACCAAATG